TTCAACATCCACAAGTGGGATACGGGCGAGATTGTCATCAACCAAAAGTCGCCTCCTCGAAACGAGACAAGTCCTATGTTCAATGGCCACAGAGGCGAGTTGCATGAAATCGTTTTTAACTATGCGAAGGAGATTGGGGTGGAAATTGTGTTGGGGCAACGCGTGGAGAATTACTGGGAAGACGAGAATGGGGCGGGGATTATCTTGGCGGATGGCACCAAGGTTGAGGGCGATGTAGTGCTGGGGAGTGATGGTGTGAGGAGTAAAGCGCGCACGCTGGTCCTCGGATACGAAGACAAGCCCAAGTCGTCGGGGTACGCGGTGTGGAGAGCCTGGTTCAGCAACAAGGATATGATAGCGGATCCTGAAACTGCTCATTGGTGCAACAACGGGGATACTTTCAACGGATGGATAGGTACGTCTCCATCTATCCGTCTATCTACTTCAGTACAGTGCTCACCCTTCGACTTCCAGGCCCAGACGTCCACTTCCTCTTCAGCACCCTCAAAGGCGGCAAAGATTGCTGCTGGGTGCTAACCCACCGCGACGAACACGACATCGACGAGAGCTGGAGCTTCCCCGGCAAAATCTCCGAAGTCAAAAAGCTCCTCGAACCCTGGGACCCCATGTGCACGAAGATCATTTCGAAAACCCCCGAGGAGAAGCTCGTCGACTGGAAACTCGTATACCGAGATCCTCTACCCAACTGGGTGAGCGGCTACGGATCCGCGCCCGGCCACGGACGCATCTGCTTGGTAGGCGACGCTGCGCATCCCTTCCTCCCAACCAGCGCGCAGGGCGCTACACAAGCGCTCGAAGACGGCGTTACGATCGCTGTTCTACTAAGGAAAGCTGGAAAGGGGAATGTAAGGGGCGCGTTGAGGGCGTACCAGGATATCCGCTACGAGCGTGTAAAGAAGGTGCAAAAAACGGGAGAGACGACGAGAGATCTGTGGCATAACACGGATTGGGAGAAGGTCAAGAAGAACCCGGAGCTTATCCAGATGCCGAGAGAGGATTGGATTTTTGGACACGATGCGGAGAAGCATGCGGAGGAGAATGGGGATGAGGTTATTGCGAAGGCTAGTGAGGGGTTGAAGGCTTCGAAGATATAGCATGTGTGTGTGTGTGTGTGTGTGTGTGTGGAGAAATAGAATTGATCTTCTGTGATCTCAGTTTATATCAATATAGAACACGGCATGGCGACCCTTGAAGCGATATGTTTTTCAATAATGGAGAAATCTAGAAAAAAATGAGAGGAATCACCAGACCTACCGTACTTCGTAGCTAACATCGCGATATCAACACAAGGTCGAAGAGCACAAAAAGCGTCAGAGGCCAACAGAAAACACGCAAAGCAAAACTTTCGACTAGTATAATCCGTAATCAAAATACAAAAGAGCGTTACTTTCGTCATCTACACGTACCCAAGTCATAGATTCATCAAGCATCAATCCCACATATCCATACCCAAACCGCAACCCCCGTCCCCCCAAAAAAATGCCCAAAGAAAACCAAACACCCCTTACCAACCCCTCACACACCAACCTCAACATCCTCCGTCCTCACCACCCCATCCTTCTCCTTCTCCTTCTCGCTCTCCCTCCCCTCCGCAGACTCCCTCACCCCCGTCGTCGTCGTCGTCTTCTCCTCCCCAACCGCCAAATGCCCCGTGCAAACATACTTGCGAAACTTCCTCGCCGGAAGCGGTGGTTTAGCCTCAAACATCTCATCAATCTCCTCCAGCGTACGGTTCTTAATCTCAGGAAGGTAAAAGTATATCCAAGCTACGGTTACCAAACACGAGGGACCCCATATCCAACCTATCAATTATTCTCGTAAGTCACATTTCCCAACCTTCCGAGAACAGGGAAGTGGGGTGGAGGGGGAAAGGGAGAAGACGTACCGTATTCGGGACCCCAGTTCAGCGCGTCGGGATTGATGAAGTAGGGTGCGGTGAAGGTGGCTAGCCATGCGCCGGCGAATCCAACGGCGGCGGCGAGACCGAAGGTGTAAGAGCGGAGTCGCTGGGAGGGGATTTCTCCGCCGGCGAGCCAGGCGTAGGTTGCGACCATTCCGTTGTAACCGCAGATGTAGATTACGGACATTGCGACGATGATCTATATATTGGGAGTTAGAAGAATTAATTCAAAAAGAGTAATGATTCCCACTGCGAACTGGAATAGAATGTTGCTAGAATTGAAATACATACCTTTCCAGTCCTGGCGCTACCTGGATCGGTGCGATACACAGCAGCGATAATGAACTGCGTAACACCGCAAATACTCATCCCAACCATGAGGAACACTCGCCTACGGCCGATCTTGGAGATGACGCAGCTGTTGACCAAAATGACGGCGACTCCGACGGCTGTCATGATGCATGCCATCTGGAAAGCATCGGTAATACCCGCCATCTTGAAGAAATAGGTACCGTACGCTATGACACCCAGTGTCAGTCCTCTTCCAACCTCACTGCATCTAGTATTACATACCAATGATAAACATCGCCCCGGAAGCCGCCTGGATCGAAATCGCCGCAATGGCCAACAACGTACGCCTCCGATCCACAGGATCCTTCACAACATCCCAAAAGCTAGCTTGACTCTTAACCTGTATCTCGGCCGCGATCGCAGCCTTGATCTCCTCCAGCTCAACGTTGACGTCTTCAGTCTTTGGCCGCATCCACAGCAGTGACTTGAGGGCGAGTTCGTTGCGATTCGTGAGCGCGAGCCAGCGCGGGCTCTCGGGGATGAAGAACAGTCCAATCGACATGAGCGCGGGAACGATGTAGATGGTGCCGAGGGGGATCAGGTAGCTGTTGCGGCCGGGGATCTCGGCGGTGCCGTTGTCGATTACAGTGCCGACGAGCGAGCCGAGAGAGGTCCAGGATTGGAAGACGGAAATCATGAGGCCGCGGTAGCGGGCTGGTGTGCTTTCCTGTTTTCGAAGTTAGCCTTGGGCAAGGTTTATGTTGGATTACTAGATGGGGGAGAGGATCAATTGAAGGGGGAGGATGGATGGGTGAAGTACCTGGATGTACAGCTGGCTGAAAGTCATGTACCACCCGTTAGCCAGACCGATCAAAAGACGCCCAGCGTAAAGGCCCGCTAGGTTCGTCGTCGCCATCATGATAACGTTCGATACGATGCAAACCAGCGAGGCAATCCACAAGCACTGACGACGACTGAGGTACGCAGCGAAGAAGCCAGCGGTGGACGAACTGACGAAGGCGCCGAGCGTCATGAGCGATGAGATGAGTTGTTGACGGTCTGGCGGGATGTTGTATCCACCTGGCACAGTTGGGTCAGGGTGCCCGAAGACCTGTTCATCGCGCGCGTATTAGTTCGGGTGTCAATGGTATGGGAGTAGTGGGAATGTGTACGGACCTGGAGGAAACCCTTCATAGCTTGCAGGCCGCCAATCGCACCGAAGTCGATTCCGTATTGAAAAGGACTCATGGAGACGAGTGTGCAGGCGAGGAGACATTTCCAGTTCTCAAGGAGGCCTGCGCCTGTCGATGAAGTGGTCATGGTTGCCTTAGACTGTCTGTCCTCTTTCTCCTCTCTACCTTTCAGGAGCAATATACGCGCGTGCGTATACGTATGAAGCTATGACACGAAGAAAAGGCGGAGGAGGTACAAAGCAATTGAAGTAGAAAGAAGATACTTCCTCAACCACCGTTGCAAAAATCAAGTTCCTCACAAAGTCACACCAATTGAAAAAAAAGGTGTGGTAAAACCTTCAAGAGAAGATGCGAAAGGCGATCAATGCCGTGGAACCATATAGTTAATATAAATCTACAATCAAACGCGCGCACGTGCAATGAATGCATGTACATACATCCATACCTACCTAGCTACCCCCCAGTCCCATCAACTCCTCTCGTACCCACTCCATCCCATCCTATCCCAACACCCCCTCTCCCACTCCCTCCTCGCCCTTACATCACACACGCACACACGCACACACGCACACTCGCAGCTCCAATCCAACCCCATCCCTTCCCATATCTCGCAGTCATTTGTGACACACAACAACGCATGCACATGCGCGCCACCACCCAGCGCGCGCGGGCGGGAGCTATCGTTTTACCCCAGACTTTTAACGATCTGCACGGATGCGTCTAGAATGTGGGGAAGAAGAGCAAGGGATGTGTTTTTCAAGGAAAAGAAGGAAAGAACCGAGCGAATGAATGAACGGGGAAAGAGTCGGGAAGCGGGGGGGTCGGGGAGGGTAGGTAAGCAGGTAGGTAGGTGGAGAGCTCTTGCGAGGGGGATTGGGGTTTGAATGGGTGGCTGGTGTATGCGTGAGGAAGAGGAGGAGGTTGGGTTTGGATTTGGATTGGAGGTGGGGTTGGTGAAGAGGGGAGGAGCATGTGTGTGTGTGTTTTTCTCTTGGTTTTTTTCGGTGAATATTGATGCTTGTTGGACGGGACGAATAGTGTGTATGGTGTATGTGTTATCTATAGGACTTGGAGGGATTCAATGCGATATGATCGTCAAGCTCTCTACAGGTAGGTAGGTAGGTAGCTGCACATCAATGATACACGCGTGCAATGTACATATATCCATACATACATACGCACATGCAAACAATCCCTCATTAACAAGAAGCAAAAACAGGACACCCACAACGCCAAAAAAAACCCCAAACCATCCAATCCGTTATCGAAAGGATGAATGCATTGCGTTTGATAGGTTAGGGCACACGAGTTGACAATGCATGTCTATTAACGGCTAACTATATGTACGTTTGCATCGATCTCACGTCGGGATGATCACACCGACGACCGACCGAACGAACGACCTTCTTTTCTTGATCGATCGTCTTCTTTCCCCCCACATTTTCTACTTTATTTGTTACTCACGTATGTACATCAATCAATCGATCTATCATTTATAATTCGCTCATAAAAACAAAGGCGAAAAAAAAACAATTGAGAAGACAAAAATAGTTCATTGATGCGCCAAAAAGAACAAAAAAAAGATTGTTAAATAAATCTCTTGCCAAGATTCGAACTTGGGTTGCCGGAACATTTGAATATTTTTCAATCGAGTCATCCCTCCCTTAAAGAAAGAAATCTCTTTTGATCAAAATCCGGAGTGCTTACCACTACACTACAAGAGAATGGGAAATTAGATGTGCGTTTCGCTGGGTAAAACGTCCTATATTTGCATTGTCTAAAAAAAAAAAGGGGGGGGGGGAGGAGGGGGCGTATAATAGACTAAAACGGCGAAATCGAAACGAACACACAGACTCTAAACCTCAAGCTTCAAAAACCCGCTGAAAATCCGGTGTGCCGATAATAAATGTGGAGAATCTTCCCCCTACCGACCGACTCGCTAACTAACTATCGATAACTAAGTAACCCATCATGTCCCTCGCATCCCCCTCAAAACACCCCCAAAACACCCAAGAAAAACAACCCCAAGCTAACTAACCAACCTGTCTATTCCATCTACCCATCTGCCCCACTCCATACCACTCCCCCTCCCCCCCATAAAACCAAAAACCACACACACCCACACACACACAGGGGTTTCGAGACATGACATTTCCAAACCATCAAGGAAGGAAAGCAAGGGAAGTTGGGGTAAAATCCAATTTCCCCCGCTTCCTTTTTCCTTTTTCCTTTCTCCTCCCACCCTTCCCCCGCATAAGGCTACATAACACACACACACACATGTGTACCTACACGTGTATATACATGCATGTAGTTACCAATTTGTAGAAGTATGCATGCGCAAGTTACCTACCTACCTAGGTATCAAGTCACTTAACTTAAGCGTGGTAAGATTTACGCGCGCACGCGCGCGCGCATGTGGGTGGGTGATGCGTTGAATGTGGGATGTATTGATTGTGGGGTCAAATCCATCACAAATCCTCCCCTCCCTTCCCTTCCCCACCATCCATCCTCCATCTTCCCTTTTCCCCTTGCGCGCATGCCCAGCCCTGCTCTTGAGGGCTTTACTTGGGTTTAGGTTTTCCATTTGTCGCGCACGCGCGGGGAGGGTCAAACATTTTTGTCTTGTCTGAATCTTTTGCTTGGTAGTAACTTTATGAATTGATATCTTGGACTTTTCCAGCCACATACACACACACACACACACACACACCTACCTGCGTTACGTTGCCGTGTGGGACAAAAGAAAGACAAAAACAAACGAGCGACAAGCAATGGCGATTGAGAAAGTTATTGAGGTTTTGCGACGGGATGGTGTGAGGGGCTTGGGTGCTGTAGACGTCGCGCTCGGTGTGCTGGGTTGTGTGGTGTTGTGGGTGCTTGTGGATTATGCGCGGATGTTGAGGTTACGGGGGAAGATGGTGCGTACTGCTCCCTTTATTTAATTATCTTTGGTGGTGTGTGATGGAGAATGAATGAACGGGGGGTTGAGAAAAGAGTGGTATATAGCTGGATATTAATTATTGATTGTTGTGTGTGAAAATACAGCCTCCAGGACCGATGCCATGGCCTATTGTTGGAAATACGTTTCAGCTTCCGGAGAACAAACCGTGGATTTACTTTGAGGAGTTGTCCAAGAAGTACGGTGTGCCGTTGATTACGTACTGGATAGGGCGGTTCGTCTTCACTCCAATTCCCAGCCATCAATGCTTGGAAAAAACCCCATGGGAACATCCTCAGTAACTGAGACAACAGAAACCCCACCGTCTGGATCAACGATGCCTGGACCGCGAGCGAGCTCCTCGAAAAGCGCGCGGGGATCTACTGTTCGCGCCCGCGCATGCTCGTCTTCGCGGAGCTGGGCTCCGGCCAGAACAACCTCGTCAATATGATCACCACGACGCCCGAAGGCCGCGAACGGTGGCGCGTCCAGCGCAAGATCACGCACCACGGCGTCGGCATCCAGCAGGTGCGGCGGTACCGTGACTTCCAGAACGACGAGAGCAAAGTCGTGGCGTTGGATCTATTGAAGGCTCCCGAGGACTATGTGGCGCATTTTGAGCGGTATGCGACTAGTGTGGTGTCCATTATTGGGTTTGGGAGGCGCGTGGCGGATCCCAAGGATCCGATTATTACGGAGGTTATTGCCGTGATGCATAGAGCTGCGGATTTGAATGTGCCGGGCAAGAGCTTCCCGATGCTGCTTGAGACGTTCCCGTGTAAGTATCCCCCCTTCGATTGGTGTGGAATCAGCCATTAAACATGTATGGCTTGCAGTACTCGCAAAAGTCCCCACCAAGTATGCTCCGTGGAAACACGGTTTAGGGGCAAAGAAAGGTAGCCATCGAGGACATGACTTCTTCTACTCTCTTGCAGCAGAGGCGAACGCGAACGAGGGACATGACGAGTGCTACTCGAAGCACATCTTCAAGGAGCAAGCCAAGTTCGGCCTCCGACCACAAGAGATTTCCGCTCTCACGGGCAACCTTTTTGGCGCAGGATCCGACACATCGAGTTCTACCCTCATCACAGCCGTTCTCGCCATGCGCGCGTTCCCGGAGACGCTCATTCCCGCGTGGGAGGAACTCGACCGCGTCGTTGGTCCTGACAGGAGTCCTACGTTTGACGACGACGCAGACCTACCTTACATGCGGGCGTTTGTCAAAGAAGTCTTCCGCTGGCGCTCTGTGGCAATCATCGGCGGGCAACCGCATGCGCCCATCCAGGACGACTACTACAAGGGATGGCTGATTCCGAAACTTACGTGGGTGCAAGGTAATGTGTGGGCCATTCATCACCACGACCGCGAGTTCCCCGAGCCAGATCGTTTCAATCCGATGCGTTTCGTAAAGGACAGTCCTGATGCCAGACCGTTCCCGGGTGAGAGGGGTTACATGACGTTTGGATGGGGCAGGCGGGTGTGTTCTGGGCAAGCTCTAGCAGAACAGGGGACGTGGTTGACGGTGGCACGATTGATCTGGGGGTTCAAGATTGAGGCTGCACTGGATGCGGACAAGAAACCGATTCCGGTGGATATCAATAATTACACGTGAGTCTCGATGCTCTATCGCTATGTCTTCTCAGCCCCTCTCTTTTAGATATCGGATTGCTCGGATGGCGTGGATAAATGCTGACAAGGTTTAGAAACGGCCTCAATTGGCGTCCACAGCCTTTTAAGGTTAGCATAACACCTCGCAGTGAACGTATCAGGCAGGCAATTGTGCGCGAGGGAGAACAGGCGCTGGCAAACCTTGCTCAGTACGAGGGAGAGACGCAGTACAGGATGAGCACTTTCTACAAGAAGCCATGATGGATGAGATAAATGGGATGGTAAAATGAGACAATACATTAATGAAGAGATTGAGTTGGGGGAATATCACAAAAGGCGTGGCAGTGTTGGAAGTGGAATGAAGAGTGAAATTGGCTTTGGGGGGTGAAGGTTTGAGGAGGTCAGGGCGCGGCCAATCACACCAAGCGACGCATGCTGCAGGGCAATCCTATGCAAGACGCGACGCGAGCATATCGATAAAAGGCAATAAATGTAGCATAGCATATTTATCTATTGATAGCATGCCACTGCGCATCACCCAGACTATACGAAATATCTCAATGAAGATGTTGATGGGGCGCAGACATATACGCGTCCCGTCGTTGTGTACACAAGAGGAGGGTGGCAGGCTCCCAAATAGGCGGGCGGGATGGCGCGACGGGGAAGAATGACGTGCCACCATCGCAAGCTGACAGACAGTGACTAGACTAGGATGAAGCTACAAATCTCCAAACAAGCACCAGACTGCATCACTCTTCCCACCACTCCACTCCCCATCATCCGCTTCTCCACCCCATTGTTTATATCGCGCCTTCATTAGCGCAAGCAAACATTTCTCCCCAACTGCCCGCCCGCCTGTTGTTCATCCTTATACCCTCAACTGCGCTGCCTCACTTTTCGCAACTCCAGGCTGCATCCACTGGATCCGGCGCATCTATCCGTCGACATCCGCTACCCTTCGACGACAGCTGCGGCTGTAGGTGCCCCTTCACCAATAATTAGTCGACCTACATCACCATCCATCTGCTACAACAAACACTGCGCTTCCAATTGAACGCTTCGCTCGCCCTCGTCTACACCCTACGTCACCACCACCATGTCTTACCAGCAATACGGCGGAAACCCATATGGTCAGGAGGAAGCTACAACAGGTGGATATGGGCAATCGACCCCTTACGGGCAGACGGGCGCCCATGCGACCGCCGTGCCCAACAACCCATATGCGTATAGCAGCAGCGAGCTACAAAACGCCCAGCACGACGGGCTCCAACCCCCTCCAGCGCAGCTCGCCCAGCAAAACTCAAACTACTCCGAGGTATCCAACTACTCCCAGAACGCAGTCCCGCCGCCGCCGCAACACCAATCCCAGCCTCTAAGCCAGGCAGACTTCCTCTCGCGCAGGGATGGCGCCATGCAGCGCATCAACCAGCTGAGCAGCAGCATCCAAGAGATCGCAAACATCCACCAGCGCATGCTCTCCTCGCCCGACACAAGCTCATCAGCCCAGCTCGAGGGCATCGTGACGGACACACAGGTGCGCAACACGCAGATCATGGACGAGATCAAGTTCCTCGAGAAGGACGCCTCGCGCGAGCCGAGCTCGTCCTTCAAGCGCACGCAGGTCGACTCGCTGAAGCGCACCTTCGAGACCCAGCTCAAGGACTTCCGGCGCGAGGAGGCGGATTATTCGAAGCGGTACCGCGAGGCCATTGCCAGACAGTACCTCATTGTCAACCCGGAAGCAACCCAAGCCGAGGTCGACGAGGCCACGAACACAGATTGGGGTAACGAGGGCATCTTCCAACAAGCGGTAAGCCTCGTCCTACTCTCTTCACACTACTAGCAAAACTAATCAGACCTTGTAGCTCAAAACCAACCGCTCCGCCCAAGGCGCCAGCGTCCTCGGTGCCGTGCGCGCCCGGCACAACGACATCCAGCGCATCGAAAAGACGCTCGGCGAGATCGCGCTCCTCTTCCAGCAGCTCAACGAGCAAGTCATATACGATGAACCCAAGGTCGAGCAGGCAGAACGGCAGACCGAGCAGGTCAAGGACGACGCAGGGAAGACGAATCAGGCTCTCACCGAAGGTATTAAATCTGCTCGGCGCGCGCGGAAGTTGAAATGGTGGACACTTTTTGTCGTTCTGCTGATTATCGCTATCCTTGCGCTAATAT